GAGAGAGAGAGAGAGAGAGAGAGAGAGAGAGAGAGAGAGAGAGAGAGAGAGAGAGAGAGAGAGAGAGAGAGAGAGAGGCTCACACAGGCGATTTTTGACCTTTTCTGTTTGCTTTGCAAATGAAAAGAAAGGACTGTCCTTCGGGATATCCGCTAAAAATTGGAACAATACAGAGAAGATTAACATGGCCCCTGCGTAAGGATGACACACATAAAAATCGGGAAAAGAACGGAAGAGTTGAGAAAACTGATGGAGGTGGCGGTGGTGGCTGTGGACCTTTTCATGTATGATGTACATATTGAGCTGTGGATGCAGTCAGGGGTTGAACTCGTCAAAGGAGTTGTGAAGGAGGTCAAACCAGCCCGTATCATTTTGACCGACGACCAGGAGGTGCCCTATGGCCTGCTGGTTTGGTCCACAGGTGTTGGCCCCAGTCCTTTCGTCAATTCACTTGGGTTACCAAAGTCCCCAGGCGGAAGAATTGGAGTGGATGAGTGGCTGAAGGTGGTTGGCATGCAAGACATTTGGGCTGCTGGTGATTGTTGTGGCTATGTTGAGGAAACGGGCAAACAAGTCCTTCCAGCACTAGCTCAGGTATGAATTATACATATCATATATATGTCACTAATGAAGCAAAATTGCTGGAATACCCAGCCCGTGTACCAGGCTGATGACATACCCACGAATTGTCGATAAACAAAGCTATGATGGAATCGAAATACGAAAGTAATTCTGAATTACCTGGTGCTGGTCAGCTCAATGATGATTCCTCAAGGCTGTCGCCCTTTGGGGAAAAAAAAAAAAGAAAAAGCAAGTGGTGGAAAAGACGTGTTTCGTGGCCTAGCTCAGTTGGTACACACATGAATTCTGCGTCATTTGTTTTTTTCCTTTTTCTGGACCTCTCTTTCTTCGAGACTCTCCTTTTTCTAGTTATTATCACTTTTAACGGAAGCACAAGGTAGGATGGATGGCTTCATAGCATTTTACTTGGCTTCACAGCATTTTACTGTTTGCTGGGCAGGCCTGGGTACTTTTAGCTAGTCTCCCGCTGCCCGTTAGCAACCTTAAACCACAAGTACTTCCTAAAGTCGTTGTTGTTTTTTTTTTTGTTTTTTTGTTTTTTTTTTCCCCTTAAGGCCCTGGCTCCATTTCCATTCTGGGGAGCATCAGTCCGGTTCCTATTCCACCGGCAAGTCAGGAAAATATTACAATAAAGGACACCCACACGCTTCCTTCCGTCTGGCCGAAGGAACCCTGATCAGCATTGATTGCTCCAGCAGCGTGGAGGATTGACTGTCAGCTTGNTCAGTCCGGTTCCTATTCCACCGGCAAGTCAGGAAAATATTACAATAAAGGACACCCACACGCTTCCTTCCGTCTGGCCGAAGGAACCCTGATCAGCATTGATTGCTCCAGCAGCGTGGAGGATTGACTGTCAGCTTGCCCTGCTTGCACCTTTCCTCTCAGGACTACTGTAAGAACCTGTCAGATCAAACATGCACAACCAGAAAGGTCTGAGAAGCTACGGCAGCTGCCTATGCTGTCTAAGTCCTAATCCTCTAACCCCTCATATAAGCCCCGTAAAATCCTTAGCATTCTGCACTATGCTGTCTTGTTTGTGCCTAAACCCTCAGCCCTAAGCCCTAAACCCTGAGGAAGATTAATCCTCTTCCATGTGTGCCCTGTGAAACCTCGTCTGTTGTCTGTCACGTATGAGTCTTGGGTACTCTACTAGGCTCCGACTGGGGCTGGTTCCTCAGGTACCTGTGAGTTCTGCTGGGATACCAACTTGACCAGATTATGCCGATCTTTCCATCATAGAACGTGCCCAATCTGTCATGCCACTTTGTCAGCTACCGACCAGATCTGCTAGAATTTAGCTAGTGACACCTGCTCTGTCTCTGGATTGTTCCGTCCCCAGAGTTTAACGTTTCCCCATTGGCAGAGGATTTCTGCTTTGCCGTCCAGTCTTCTGGAGGATTCGCTATCAGCTTGTACTGCTTTACTCTTTCCTCTCGGTTCGCACTGCCGGTGTCCTTTTCCTTTTTTCCTCTTCCGCACTCCTCAAACTGATGGGGCTCCCTCTGGCTCTGTCTTCCTGAACTCCACCTTCTGCTGGCCGAGTACTTCTGTCCCTGCAATCTGCCAAGAGCTTCGACTTGTAACGGAGTCTTCATCTGTGCCCACTTCTTCTCTCGGCGGTTAGTTACTTCCTAAAGTCGTGCCCGTTAACAATCCACAATTTTAGGAAACGCACGAGCCACTACAGGAGCGCCCAAATTCGTCCGACTACAAACGTTTCTACTCTATTTTTTCCACAGCCGATAGCTGGTGGTTTAAGAGGTTATGTTTCCCGGTTCTTCTGATCCTTGTATTTTCCATGCTTGCCGGTGATAAGTCACTGGACTGGTTCCCCCCAGAATATAAAGGCGATGTGTCTCTATGGGAAAAAAAAAAAAAAAAAAAAAAAAAAAAAAAAAAAAAAAAAAAAAAAAAAAAAAAAACAGACCTCAGTTTAGACTCAGGTAAGTAACCAACTTACAGCCCCTCATTTGTTGTCCTCTTCTCCCTCTCCGCCTACGGTTTACAGGGCAGCTCTGTTTGACTATATATACCACGACTCTGCTAGCACCCTGCTACGGTTTTCTCCTGTCAGGTCGAGCGGCAGTGGTCGGGTCCGTCACTACGCAGGCATGCTGTGTCTCTAGTGCCAGCGGCGTGTCTGGAGTATAGTTTTTGGCTGTGACAGACCTTTCTTTGTTTCGTGGGTGTTTTGCTTGCTTGTGATGGGGTGTGAACCGACAGTCTGTAGAGTTTTCCATCTGTGTGGGTGAGTGATAGTCTGCTTTGATTTTCGTCACAGGTACCTTGAGGGCAGTGGTCGGTGCCCACCTCAGGGTATCAGTTGTCGGGCAGTAGTTGATGCTTAACCGCAGCCGGGGTTAAGGTGGATCAGTGTAATCAGTTAGGGGATTCTGCAGACTTTTGAGGGTTCAGCCTCCTGATGAGTCGGTGAAACTCTGACGAAATAGTTTGTCACAGCCCCTCGTTTGTTGTCCTCTTCTCCCTCTCTGTCTACGGTTTACCGGGCAGCTCTGTTTGACTGTATATAGCATGCGTCCAGCGCTCCAGCAAGCTCAAAACAATGAGGAACACATCTATGATCCCTGTTCCTCTAATTGCGTTGAGATCATGGCCAATCTCTGTCGTATGGCTGCTTCTAACACTTGTCTACACAGTCTCCGCTGCCTGTCTCATATGGCATCAGATTTTCTTGCAATTGTCCTTCAACTGATGTTGATCATCCCCTGCCTAGAGGTAGAGGGTAGTCACTACACCAGGAAAGGAGACTTTACAATTGAGGTCCTACGAGCAATGAACGACCGCCAACTTGGACTGCGCCATGCTCAGCCTGGTGAGTGGCTTTGTCCTCCTCCATCCCACATGTCCGCCTGCAATCTACCTCGACCTGGCCATTACGTGGCCATTGTCCATAGCTCTGAGCAATGGGATCTAAGCAACATCGGCAACGTGGTCCAGACTATGATTGATGCCAGTGGTTTCATTTGAAATGATGATGTTTCTTGGTTCGCCAAAGTGACTGACACTCTTTTATCTTGAGGATCACATCGCTGCCTCTGTGCTTCAGCAGCACAATGGGGCATATTCTGCGACCTTCTCCTCTGCACAGCTACAGACTCTGTTGCACTCAGCGGCGGGCGTCATTGTCTTCCGCAAGCACTATATTGCCAGGGTTTCTGCATCCGTGTGTGCAGAAGTCTAACCCTCCTTTCCTGGCAGCCTTACCCTCTGCATCTGGACATCATCTGTCCATTTTGCAGGCAGGGATGTCAGGAGGAATGCATGGTCTTCTGCGGTGCCCATTCTTCCCTCCTGTGAGGCTGCAAGAGACATGCCGGTTGCACAGGTGGTTAATAGGGACTCCCACTCTTCAGCCCGTAGGTTAACCCCCCAACGGGACTATTTTTTTCTGTTTTGAGTTTCAAAAGGCGTCTGCTGGATGAAATTCCACAGGTCGTATCACCCTTTTCCATAGAGGCTCCCACACCAAACGATTGCAGCGAAGAATTGACTTTCAACGTCACACTTCGTTGACGGGTAAGGTAGAAAGTATTGAATGTGATCCAAATCGTTCCTCTTGGATTACTAACCCTCGTACGCTGATACTCTGGATCTACCCAACCCCAATATCAAACTTCTTTTTTTTTTTTCTTAATTATTTCTTGCCCTGTTGTGGTTTTGGTCAAGGTTTGTGTGTGTCAAGTTTGGTGTCTGTTGCCTTGGATAGGGCTGCTTTGGCAAGGCCTGAAAATCCTGAAAATTTGTCAGTCCGACTCGGTCATGAATTGTGCATGGAAAAGCACTTTGGCCTTAGGGTTTTAGGCTCCTATTGTTCCTTTTTCATTTTCATTTTCATTTTTTGGTTGTTGGTGAACTTGGTATCCACTCTTTACTTGGATCCGTTTTCATGCTTTTAGCTATTTTAGTGATTTTGTTTCAAACGGGAACCACTGATTTACAAATGTTATTAACAACATAATTTAGCGAACGACGTCAAATATTGCTATGAATTGCTTTTTTAAAGTTTTTTTGCATCTTTTGCAGTGAAAGTACCTATGGTACCAGTTCATATTTGGTTACCTGAAGCTCATGTAGAAGCACCCACCGCTGGATCTGTTATCTTAGCAGGAATTCTCTTAAAATTGGGAGCTCGACCGATTTCATCCACTTGTAATTTGGTGTAATAATTTGTAATTCTTTGTTCTAATAAAGTAGATAGTTCCACTCCAGCAAATTTGTTCATAAATTTCATGCTCTCTTCTCACCCGGGATTATATATATTTTTTATTAGTTCTATCCATCTCCAGGGACCCAAGGACTCGAAAAATCAAAATAACGAAATTCTTGAGTCATTTCAATAGGCTCAGAAACCACACGTTTCTCTGAATCATCGTATCGTACTTCCACATATCCACTTAAGGGAAAGTCTTTTCATAACAGATGACCCAGACATACTAAATAGAAGTGCAAAACACCCAAACCCAAAATAAAAAAAGGCGCGCAGCTTGCGCACAATCAATTGTTTTTCAAATCCTTGATAGCTACTTTACCCAAATGGATTAACAAATATAAAATATCAAAAAAGGAAATTTGTATATATACCAACCCAAACAATCTTTTTCAAATGTTCTTTTTTCTTTTAAATCATACGAACACAAGATTTCGAGTTTTAATCGATATTTGTGGAGTTGATTATCCTTCTCGAAAAGATAGATTTGAAGATTTGATTTGTAGGAGATGGGTAAAAACCGGGCCCGGATCTTATCTTCACTGGCGATGTGTTTGATGGAGTGGAAAGAAAGGTACAAGGGGCGTCTTTGCTTTGGATGGATGTCTGAGTGGTTGAAGGTTTTGGGGTTTTGCTGTAAAAGACCATAAGCAAACCCTGAAAACTTAAGGCTCTGTTAACCGCCCTTGCCATTTCTTGGGAGTGCTTGGTGGGCATGCTTAAACCACCAGTCCACCCGCAGCTAAAATCCCGAACCTACCTGCCCACTGCATGCCGCTATTTT